CGAGCGAGCGAGCGCACCACGAATGTGAATGGCAGGCACCGCGGTGAACGTGCGACATGATGATTGGAAGCGAGGCAAGCGCTCGTCTCGCATGCACTGCCCGAGATTCACGATTTCAACTCTACGATGCTGGTAGCTCCTTAGCTGTCACCCATGCCGTTACTGATGACACCTTCACCGAGTAGCGCGCAGAGTGACCTCTTCACCGAGTAGCGCGCACCTTCTCACAGCCCTCACCAGGCCCCACGACTCGTGGCTGCATCGTACGCGGTCATGCGAGTCTCGGATCACTATGCTGTCATCGTCGTGGATGGCAAACCTGTCAAGGAATCCAATGTGAGGATCAACTACCAAACCGCCATCAACACATTTGTCGCTACTTGCGAAATACCTTACACGCACGGTGCCAACTTTGCCATCCACTACTACTACAAGCACACGGATCGCTGCTATTCGGCCACTGCAATGGTCGATGGTCAATTTGCCGCGTCGATGATTCGCGACCCTGCGCTGATGCCCAAGGAGCAACCTTTGAAGCACGAGGGCTTCATCACTACTCGAGGTGTACGCCCCTTTCGCTGGGCTCGCATGGCCCGCAGAGAGGGTATGTAGCCCCGCTGATCCTCCCACCTCCACCCTTTACTGACATCCCAGCACTACGGCTCGCTTCTCAGACGGCGAGGAAAGCGACCAAGCAAAAGAGCTACCGCCAGATGCTAGCACCATTGCTCTCATCTTGAGCCCGATCAAAGGCTACACCTCTAGCAAACGCCGCCCTCGCGTCAATGCAGAGCCCCTCTCTGCCAGCGGCATGAAACCTGCCGAAAAGTCCATCAAGCCAGCGCTCGTGTCTGCTGACCAAGTCATTCCACACAAGGCTCAACAGAATTTCGTGGACATCAAGCCCGACTCTTTGCGTCCAAAGGTCATGATGAAGTGGCACTACCTGCTCGAAGACCTCATCATAGAAAGAAGAGGCCAAGACAGCTTGGCTGATCAGACCGGTGATGAGCGTGCTGATAACGGGAGCGAGACCGAGGACCGTACGCAGGTGAGTGGCACGATGAGTGCGCAGCGTGATCTCGGACTGCACCTGAGCGCGCGCGCGCGCGCGCCCATGTTGGTGTCGCAGCAAAAGTCTCGCCAGGAGCAGATCGAAGAGGTGAGTGGGTGCAAAACAATGCGCGCTTTTCGCGACGGGTGCAAAAGTATGCACGCTTTTCGCGACACTGACTTTTGATGTCCTGCTCCCACAGGAAAAGCAAAACCTGCAAGCACAGCTTGCCGCTCTCAAACAAGAAAGCCAGGGCTTGGGAGGATCGCGCAAACATGTCAAGCGCAAAAGTGCTGCAGCGTCCACCAACGACCTCACCAAGCGTCCTAGAAAGGAGTACGTCGATCTCACCAAGGACGACGACTAAGAAGATCGACCTATTTCTCACAGAGTGGTCATCCCTCAGCAAACCGCAATTCAGTCACCGCCACGACGAAGCACATGCACAAAAAGCACGCTAATCAGCGGCAATCACGTTGTACAACTCCAAGGTACTCGCGCCAATTATCCCAAATGTCCACTTTTACTCATACACGAAACTTTGAGCATGCCAGCAGTGATTCGTATAGTTCTACCCGGGCCTGACAAGCGAGCCAGCTCCAGCCAAGAAGCGCGCATCCGCACGCTTCGAGCCATCTACGCACCGCTCTCCCTTCGCTGTCCTCCTCTACTCTAGCATCTCTCCCGTGGGCAACTGCCCAGCTGCACACAAGATAAAGCGGCACAATGAATGCTATTCCGATCTATTTCCGCTTCACAAGGACAGTCTCTCCCTCCTCCGCATCGTCTTCCCCTGCTGCGTGCCCGCGCTGATCCGCTCTCGCGGTCTGCTCTGCCGCTTGTGAGCTCGCAGCAGCCAAAGCATGCTGCAGATCCTTTTCATCCAACAAGCTCTCTGGATCCGTTCTGACCTCTGCATCTCCCTCCTCTTGAGGTTCAGCGCTTTCAGCTAGGGGATGTCGCATACCGCACAAAGCGGACGTCGGAGCACCTTCGCTATTGGATGGCAAGTCGAGCAGATGGCCCATCCTCTCCACCTTTGTCCGCAGATACTTTTCCAACTCTGGACCTCGAGTGATGCTCGCTCCCAACATCGTAGCTCCGCTCCTCCTGAGCACGTGGTCGACGTACTCTTCCTCCAATCCATCGTCGCTTTCCTCATCCCACTCGCTCTCCCTGCTCGAATCCGAATGAGAAAAGTCCGCATTCACACGCGCAGAGCCCTTGCTGCTCTCCATCGGTGCTTGTGAAAGCACGCTCGAATCCATCGGCACTGCACTAGCCTTCCCCTTCTTCAAGGTCTTGCTTCTCGTCGAATGTTCTCTGCTGCGCCTAGCTGCTCTTCTACGCCGATGCTTGGCTCCGATCTCTTGTCTCCAAGCGCGAGGTACCATGGCCACCCTTTCAGACACCCGAACACCCTCTCTTTCCAAAGCTTCCATCTTATCTGGATTGTTCGTCAGCAGTCGGCAATCTTCAACACCCAGGTCGCGCAGAATGGCAGCTGCAATGTCGTACTTTCTCGCATCGGGCAAGTGTCCTAAAAGCACATTGGCGGATACAGTGTCGTGACCCATATCTTGCAAATTGTACGCCATCAGCTTGTCAAGTAGACCTATACCTCTGCCTTCTTGGCGCAGATACACGATGACCCCTCGAGCTGATCTATTTGCCGTACCTGTAGCATGTATGAGTCGAATCGCTTCGTCGAGTTGCTCTCCGCAATCGCAACGCTGAGAGCCAATCGTCTCGCCAGTGTAGCATTCGCTGTGTATGCGCACGAGTGGAGCCGTCTCATCTTCGGTGCGGGCAGCTACCGCGTCAATATGTCTTTCTAGCCTAGCGTCCCGACCCACACTAGCCTGCTGGAAAGAAGGACCCAGTCTACCAACGTAGGCTCCTCTAACAATCCTTTCCATCTCGGTCTCTTCGGAGCTCCACACCTCGTCGAGCGTAGCGCTGCGAAGGTGTCGAGATGAAGCAGCCGCATCTTCTACCGTCGGCCCATCAGCAATGTGAGCCATCGTCTCTTCCGAATTCTGAGCGGGATCAATCACGAGCGCGAGGTGCTCCTTGCCATCGTGATTGTTGCGGTAGAGATGGCAAAAAGCTTCGCCGTGCGGGGTTGGGATGCGGGTGCGAGCATAGCATCGCACGTGCAGAGGAGGGGGTCTGACGATGGAAGACAAGCCCGCCAGCGACATTGGCGTAGACTGCCCAACAGGCATGCCCAGCTGCGGACCTGCGGACGGCAAGCTGCCCAAGTGGAGAGGTGTGGAGGGAGCAGACGAGATGAGCTGTTGGCGAGAGTGCAGAGCCTCTGATAGCTGCGCTGCTGCTTTGCTTGGCTGGGAAGTGCTCGCCATTGGAGCAGCTGGCGCTGGCTGAGCATCCGGATCGTCAGTGAGAGCGTTTGAGCTCTGGGCATAAAGGGACTGAGCCTCTGCTGCAGCTGGAGGACGATCGGCGCGTGCCGGCTGCGATGCGTGTGAATTCGCAGTGGCGCTCTGCGTTGCAGCTTTTGCAGAGGCATCCGCTTCCAATCGCAATCTTTGGCTTCGAGGTGCTTGCCTCGATGCGTAGTAGGCCTGCTCTTCCTCCGTCACAGCCGGCACGAGGGAGGTGCTATTGACCAGCTCTGCGATCTCGCTCTCAGCACGCAAAGCATCCGCTTCCAAATTCTCGAGCGCTTCGTCGTTCAGGTCGCAATTCGCATAGCTCCCGCTAACCGAAGCTGCTCGTTGCTTGATTCGACGTGTCGAAGAGTTGGATGTTGATGCCAATTCGGAGGATTGCGCATTTTGCATTCTTTCTTTGCGCTGCGAGACCGACATCTGTTTACTCTGTCTAGGCGCCCCATAAGAATGGTGGAAATGGTGCCTGGTGACGTGAGGTCCGCTGCTCAGAGAAGCAGCGAGAATGATGGGATCTATCGGTGGACGTCTCAGAGCTGCCAGAGTGGCCAGTGGACGTTTGCCATTTGCCAAGGGAACATTGTGAAAAGATGGCGATCCAAAGGCGGGCTGATGGTGAGACACGGGAGCTTGACCCGGGGCAGGAAGCGTGGAGAGCATATCGAGCAGAGCGCGATCGCTTGAAGTAGCAGGGGAGGAGGAGTGGTAGGAGGCGGGGTTTGAGCTTGAACTCGAGCTGGAAAGGTGTTGAGGGTGTGCAGTGTAGAAAGTCATGGCGATGATCCTTTCCCTTACTCTCAGCGCTCAAATATAGCACAGACGGCGGCGCTGAAAGGGACCTGAGCTTCGTCCTATCGCCCGCGGAGAGTTGTACGAATTGTAGTATAGACCTCGAGAGTGGTGGGTAGGGACAGGATGC